TATTAAATTTGAATTCTCCAAAGGATTTGTAAGTTAAATAATTTTTTTTTCGGTCGTAGGGCTTCAACTCTGGGTTTGAGTGCTGTCCCTGCGCTCTTCAGTTCAAGGCGAGTGCTCTACTGCTTAAGCCACAGCGCCACTTCCAGTTTTCTAGTGGTTTATTGGAGAGTCTCACGGACTTTTTTGCCGGAGCTGGCTTTGAACTGTGATCCTCAGACCTCAGCCTCCTCAGTAGCTAGGATTACAGGCGTGAGCCACCGGCGCCCGGCTTATTAAATAATTATTTAATGAAATGATGTCCCAGTATTAGAACCTTCTGAAGTTTTCAGAAAGTAGTTTGTTCCAAGTGGCTCAATAAGGAATCCAAAGCTTTAGTTAATATAGTTTGTTTTTTTGGCAGTCCTGGGGGCGTGAACTCAGGGCCTGGGCACTGTCCTTGAGCTTTCTATTTGTTCAAAGCTAGCACCCTACCACTTGAGCCACAGCACCACTTCTGGCTTTTTCTGTTTGTATGGTACTGAGGAATGGAACCCAGGGCTTCCTACATGTTTGGGAAGCACTCTACCACTAAGCCACATTCCCAGCCCTAGTATTAAGTTTTGTGGGTTTTTTGTTTGTTTTTTGTCGGTTGTGGGGCCTGAACTCTGGGCCTGGACGCTGTCCCTCAGCTCTTCAGCTGAAGGCTAATACTCTACCACTTGAGTCACAGTACCACTTCTAGCTTTTTTCTGCTTATGTGGTGCTGAGGAATCGAACCCAGGGCTTCATGCATGAGGGGTAAGCACTCTACCATTGAGCCAACTTCCCAGCCCCCTAGTATTAGGTTTTAAAAACAAATGTCTAGAATCAAAGTATATAAGACAAACTTTAGGGAGAAAAATGGAAGGATTAACATTGACCAAGACACATTGTACATATAAACTGACATATATACTGAACTGAAATCCCTTTGTAGAACTATTTCAAGGTAATTTTTTAAATTTATTCTTAAAAAAGACACTTTACATAAAATTTGTAACATTTATTTATGAAAAAATTCCAAAACAATCTGTACACAGAACATTAATACTTTAGTGATGTCCTCATTTAATATATAGCATGATTCATGTACAGAAACTCTTCCATTCGTCTGACCACAATAAGAACTATGTCTTCAGTCCAGATAATTGAGTTTGAAATTTACATACAATATGCTTTTCAATAATTTTTCATACTCTTAAAAGAAGTTAAATTCCATCAGAATTTAAGCAAAAGACAGCTTTTCTATTATCACAGTCAGTGAACATTTGGCAGAGGGAATCCTACAAAAGTCAAGGATTAAAAAAATGTATTCTTTCATATTATCTGAGACTATAAATCTTGAAATGACATTTCCTCATTTTTAGAGAAAAAAATGCTATCAAGAGTTTCCTTTTATGAAAGTATTTCAATTTTCATTAAATAGCTGATTTAAAATAAACAACCCAACTTGAAGTATTCCTCAAAGTAAGCTCCAAAGACATTCTACCAATAAACCATTTATTTCCTATAATTTTGATTAATTTAGAAGTTTCAAAATTTTTTTTTTTTTGCTGGTACCAGGGCTTGAGCTCAGGGCCTCTTGCTTGCTCTGCTGACATTCTACAACATGAGCCATGCCTCCAGCCCATTTTTGTTGTTATTGGGGTTTGTTTTGGTTTGTTTTTAGAGAGGGGAATCTCACTATGTTGCCCAGGTTGGTCTCCAACTAGTGGTCTCAAGTGGCCTTCCTGCCTCAGCCTCCCTCATAGCTGAGGCTACAAGTGTAAGCCACCGAGTAAAACTTTTTTCTTTACCTCTCCCTCTCCCCACCCCCTCCTCTTTTCTCTCCTCTTTTTCTTACTTTCTGGTTCTCATAATGTCTCTTTTCTCTCTCTTTTTAGAGACAGGTTCCAAATATGTAGAGCAGAGTAAAACTGGCTTTGGAGCCAGGCTGGCCTGAAACAATACTGTGCCTCAGCCTTCCAAGTCCTAGGATTGTAGATAGATGTGTGTCACCATACCTGTTATTTTTAATCAGCATTTATCTGGCTATGAAGTTAGGCTGTGCTGTCCAAAGAGCTTCTGCTTCATTTAGACTAGTGAGAAATTACATCAATCTTGGTATAATTAACTCTCCCCCAAAAAAGTGGGGCAGGAGAAAACAATTTTTTTTCTTAGACTACCAGTAAGTCAACATAGTGTCTTGGGTTAAGATTTGAAAGTCAAAGAATGTATAATTAGGAATCATGCAAAGTCTATTAAGCACTAAATAAATGAGATAAAAGCACTCACTCATTTAAAGTTGAACCAGCAAATTTTCCTATCATACTGTTATTCTCATCACTGGACAAAGGTTATTTTGCATTATTCCTAATATAAACAGTTCTTGATGCACACAACATTAAAAATGTGTCAACTCACAGCAAATGATAAATATTAAACTGCTAAAAGGGATTTAAGAGAAACCAAAAGTTTGCAAACTAAAAGCTGCCTCAGAGCAGTTCTGAAGCCAGAACAATATGAAGTTCCAAATAAATAATATACAGATAAAATTAGAAGAACCCATAGTATGATACTGCCTTTAACTTATGCCTTCAGCTTAGCAATACTGTTCATATGATATTTGAGTTTGTACAATAACCAAATAATGTAAACATACTGTAAGAAGGCAGGAGAGTGGTGATGCATTTTACCTTACTTAAACATTACCTTCCTGGGCTGGGAACGTGGCTCAGTGGTAGAGTGCTTGCCTTGCATGCATTAGGTTCGATTCCTCAGCACCACATAAGCAAAAAGAAAAAAGTTGGAAGTGGCGCTGTGGCTCAAGTGGTAAAGCACTCGCCTTGAGCTAAAGAGCTGAGGGACAGCGCCCAGTCCTAGAGTTCAGACCCCACGACCTGACCCAAAAGAAAAACAAAAAAAACCATTACCTTCCTGTCACCTGTTATTGGCTACTGCAGCTGTTTTTGAGGAGGCAAGACAATACCAAAACACTAAGCCAAATTGCCTCATTTACTTCAATTTGGCATATAAAATATTTTCATTAAAATGTGATCAAAGTCAACCAATGTTATTGTGACATATAATTAAAAACAGCCAAAGTGACTGAAAAACACAGGCTAACTAAAAAGGACTCATTTGTAAGAGTGGCTTCCTAAACTGGATATATAGGACTGATGGCTTTAAACATGAACCTGGGCTGCTCAGGGTCGCAGTATCAGCTCCCGAGACTGTGCTGCGGCCCTGACCGGTCAGTGTAGGAACCTTCTCAATAAAGTTGTTTCTTTAATAACAAACAAACAAAAAAAACATGAACCTGATTCTGTCATAAAAGCAAACTCTCATAGTAGTCTTACTCAAAATTTACTAGCACCACTAAATGGCATTCCCATCAGAAGAAACAAGCAGCAATAACTTACAGTCAATTCCTGGGACTGTGGGTCTGATATGCTTTTTTAGAAATCCTCAATTGAGATCAATATCCTTGGACAGAGGATAAACTAACCCCCTATCATTACTTGATTCAGAGAGTAGTTTATTTTTGTTTTGTATTTTTGATGCTGAGGCAAAAGCAAGGGTTTCATGCTCCTAGCATTGAGGTGAGCCATACCCTCAACCTAAGGCAAAAAATATGTTTTTAAGAGTATAAAGACCATAGGGAAACTTACTTGATGCAAAGAATGAAATGCCTTAATTATATTTAGTTTACTTTCTGTTTTACTCAACAACAGCAATATATAACATTAAAATCTGAAACATCGTTTCCCTTGTCTTTGTGGTGCTGGGGGATTAAACCTAGGGCCTTGTGCATCCATGTTCTTCAGTAGGTTCAAATTTTGCTGTTGCTTGAAGACTAAACTAATGGTATTTTACAATATTCAGCACAGTGATTATTTGAACAATGAGTTGTTCAACCCTTGTCTACATTGTGCTTAAAAGAGACCCCCTACACCACCAAAAGGGAATCCAAAAGGGAATCTCTGAAGGCACCAGTACTCATATATTCACCAAGAGACTAGCAAGGTATACCTCCTAATTCCAAAATATATAGCTACTGTATTTTAGCCAGATTTCAAACCTTATAGATAATTCTATGCCATAATTCCACAACTTTAAGTAACCATCCCAACCATAAAGGCACCAATTTCTATATATTTAGGGTGTGGTTATTTTGAAGATTCAGAACTAGGTGGCGACTACTGAGTTTCAAAGTGATAAAACTTTAGTTTTTTTAACTGTTTTTTTTTTTTTGGTCGGTCATGGGGCTTGAACTCTGGGCCTGGGCGCTGTCCCTCAGCTCTTCAGCTCAAGGCGAGCACTCTACCACTTGAGCTACAGCGCCACTTCCGGTTTTCTGGTGGTTTATTGGAGATAGGAGTCTCACGGTCTCTCCTGCCCGGGCTGGCTTTGAACTGCAATTCTCAGATCTCAGCCTCCTGAGTAGCTAGGATTACAGGCGTGAGCCACCAGCGCCCGGCTACTTCCCTTTAAATATTTTTGAGGCTTCATGTATCATGTAGTTACTCTGAGTTTGTTTTTGTTTTTTTTTTTAAGGGGTTTACTGTTTTCTGTATATTTTAGGCCATTTTTATTTTTTGTGCCCATACTGGAGCTTGAATTCAGGGCTTCTTGCTCTCACTTGGCGTTTTCACTCAAGACTAGAGTTCTACCACTTAAGCTATACCTCCAACTCCAGCTTTTAGCTAATTAGATGGAGATAAAGAGTCTCACGGGCTTTCCTTCCCCAGCTGACTTCAAACCAGGATCCTCAGATCTCTCAGTCCCCTGAGTAAATGGAATTACAGGTCTGAGTCACTAGCGCTCAGCTCATTTATGCCTTTTTTGAGGGGGGGCCTGTCATTGGGCTTAATTCAATGTCTAGGCACTGTCCCTGAGCTTTTTTGCTCAAGACTAGCACTCTAACACATGTGCTACAGCTCTACTTCTGACTTTCCTGCTGATGGTTAACTGAAGATGAGAGTATCATGGATTTTCCTGCCTGAGCTGGCTTTGAACCATCATCTAAGATTTCAGCTTCCTGAGGATTATAGGCATAAGCCATTGGTAGCTGGCCTCATTATGCCATTTCTGATGACTTACAAAAACAAAAAACTAGCAATAGTCTATAAGGAACATGCACTTTTGTCCTGAACAGAAGTGTCAAGACTTGAAGCTACGCTTCTCAAGTAGACTTTCCTCTTATCTACATTAGACTTGGAAAGCGTTAACACTGCTAACAACTCTCAAGCTACTATAGACCATCCTATTTTCTGAATTTTTGCCTCATAACTTAAAATTAAGGCAAAAAAATTGAATTTTCCATTTTTTCAAAAATAAAATTAATCTGAAAATTATCATTCCTATAAAATTCCTTAAACCAATTAGATCAGAATTAAAAGTTATGTTTTTAACAGTTGTAAATAATTTTTTATTATTTATATTTTTCATATTTTATATTAACCAACTCTAAAAATTTCAAGTATTGATTAATGGCATGAAACCATATGTGAGAAATATTATTAACATACTAATAAAGCAGCTCCTTTCTAAATGAAAATGCTTCTGAATAACTAAATATCCTGTTTAAGAATTTCTATTGAAAATATTTAAACCATCTACCAAGAAAATATGGTCATGTAAGAGCTATGGTGCCCAGGTTGGCCTTCATATTATACCCCTCCTGTCTCAGCTTCCCAGTGCTCAGATCACCAGATGTGCACCTCCATGCCCAGCTTTCAACGAACATTAAATTCCTTGGAGACTTGCTATAATTTATTAGGAAAATGATCATTATACTGTATCAAATACTTTAGCAAAAAGGCAACTGTCTAAAAAATGATTCATTCCATTTTATCCAGAGTAAAATCATTACATTTAACCATTTAACAATAGTCTAATTTAGTTGTCTCTTGCTTTTGTTTTGGTAGTGAAATGCCAAGGTTTTTCTCCAACATGAACACATTAAGAAGGTACATGTATGAGTTCAATCACTAGTACCTCAAAATAAAACAAAGAAGACACATGATACATGTATTTGAACAAAATTTTAACCCAGGTTTTCACATGTGCTAAGCATATACTCTACCACTGAGCTACACCCTCAGCTCAAATTTAACTTTTTGTGGCAAAATTTACTCTTGTCAACTGTACTTTAAGCAAATTAACAATACTTTCACTAAACAAAAATGACTTTGAAATAGAAGAGAAAGATGGCTAGTGTTAACCAGAGATATATTTTTAAATTCACTTAAAAAAAAACAGTATGACATATAGAGACTCAGACAGACTTTATACAAAATGCTGTGGTACTTTATACTGTGATACTTAGGGAAAATATCTGTAGAGGAACCTACAGTCTGTGTAGGAAGTGGCAGTCCATGCTTCCAGCCACAGATATGGAAAACAAACAGCTTCTACTTACTGTCTCAAGAGAGGGGGCCTCCAGGTGGGTAGCCTATTCCACTTAAAAAACTCTACCATAATAGCAATTCTCAATTCCTAAACTCTCTTCTTCCTTATAATTTTCTGCAACAGTCCATTATCCAGACAGTAAGTATCTTCCACAACAACAACGCAGATTTCCATTCTTTCACACTAAGAAGGGCAGCATATAAAAGTTACACAGAGAATAAAGGCATTTTATACAGAAGTGGTATAAAATTTACAACTGAAGCAATGCCAGACATCAAATCAACAGCTCATCTGAAGCTGCAAATTAACTGGAAGGAACTGGAAGGATCAGGAAAGTCTGGCATAGAGGTTCGTGCAAACTTTTCATAAAACTGTAGAGTCTCAAGCACAAGTAAGTTTAAACACTGAAATAGATGGGAAAATTCCTAAAAGACAACAATGAAGGAAGATAGATACCTCTGTTGCCTCATAAGTTAAAAATCACAAGACAAATTATACTGTTCACATGGGCAGTATTGTACATATCAATCCCAAACTGATTTTATGACTCATAGAATGCCCGAAACACCACAGAGAGTAAGATATTACAAACCAATCACAAAAAGGATTCCTACCATTCAATTATTCAACTATCTATGGCTCTCAATTTAGTCTGGCCTGAGGCTGCTTTTTACAGGGAGGAGGTCTCCCATGGCGCACAATGTGTTTTTCTAAGCTGTCCAGAATGGCCACTGCAATCTGTTGGACATGGGGGTCAGTTTGTTCATGTTCTTTGATGTTGTATAAATGTTGCAGTCCTCCTTCTTCAATCAGCATGCTGCAATACCTTGAAGCTGAAATGAAACAACATTTTTATTAAAACACTTGTAGGGCTGGGAATGCGGCTTATGGTAAGAGTGCTTGCCTAGCATGCATGAAGCACTGGGTTCGATTCTTCAGTACCACATAAACAGAAAAAGCCAAAAGTGGTGCTGTGACTCAAGTGGTAGAGTGCTAGCCTTGAGCACAGAGAGGCTCAGGGGCAGTGTCCATGTCATGAGTTCAAGCCCCAGGATTGGAAAAAAGAAAAAGAAAAAAAACACTTGTAAATTATCCCACAAAAATATTATTAAGAGCTTTTTGAGGGGCTGGGAAGGTGGCTCAGTGGTATAGTGCTTACCTTACATGTATGAGGCCTTGGGTTCTATTCCTCAGTACCACATAAGCAGAAAAAGCCAGAAATGGCACCTGTGGCTCAAGTGGTAGAGCGCTACCCTTGAGCTGAAGAGCTAAGGGACAGTACCCAGGCCCAGAGTTTAGGTCCCACAACTGACCAAAAAAACAAGGAGCTTTAAGAGCTTTTTGAATTTACATTTTAGTTGTTTTGTTATTGAGCATGACAAGGTATAGCTTGAGAAATACTACTGTAATGATGTAATGTCCATAGTACTATTCCCACTCATAAGTAAGATTCAAAACCAACTATTTCTTATGTTAAACTTAAGACAGACCATTTGGAAAACAAACACAAGTTTTCTTTTGTTTTGTCAGTCATAGGGCCTGAACTCTGGGCCTGGGTGCTGTCCCTCAGCTATTCAGCTCAAGGCTAGCACTCTATCATTTGAGCCACAGTGCCAGTTCTGGCCTTTTCTGCTTATGCGGTGCTAACGAATTGAACGCAGGGCCTCATGCATGCAACGCAAGCACTCTACCACTGAGTTACCTTCCCAGCCCAACACAAGTATTTTTATTAGGTATCTGACTCACCTCAAATCAAATCACAGATAAATACGGAAAAAATTTATTATTTACTATCTATGTTTATACATGCATGCATGTATGTATATATGTGTTGCTAATACTAGGCCTTGAACTCAGGGCCTGGGCAGTATCCCTTAGCTTTTTCACTCAAGGGTAGTACTCTATCACAGCTCCAATTCTGGCTTTTAGTGGCTAACTGTAGGAAAGAATTTCATGGACTTTCCATCTTACAAACAAAATTTCATTTTTCTAGAGACAATAGCTGGCTATGGTGACTAAAGAATGAGAACTGGAACATACCACAAATAGCAGTAGACTACTTAAGATTTTTTTTTTTTTTTTTTGTTGGTCGTGGGGCTTGAATTCTGGGCCTGGGCACTGTCCCTCAGCTCTTCAGCTCAAGGCGAGCGCTCTACCACTTGAGCTACAGCACCACTTCCGGTTTTCTGGTGGTTTATTGGAGATAGGAGTCTCACGGTCTCTCCTGCCCGGGCTGGCTTTGAACTGCGATCCTCAGATCTCAGCCTCCTGAGTAGCTAGGATTACAGGCGTGCACCACCAGCGCCTGGCTAAGATTTTTTTTTTTTTGGGTTGGTTGTGGAGCCTGAACTCTGGGCCTTTGAGCTGTCCCTAAGCCCGTCAGATCAAGGCTAGTGCTCTACCACTTGAGCCACAATGCCATTTCCAGCTTTTTCTGCTTACGTGGTGCTGAGGAATCAAGCCCAGGGCATCATGCATGCAAGACAAGCACTCTACCACTGAGCCACCTTCCCAGCCCCTACTTAAGATTTTTATCACCAAGTCCTATTTACCATGGGATCTTAAACAGTAATCTACTATTGTCAGTGTTGCAAAGTTCATTTTAAAGAATCCATTTGTTTACTTGTTGGTCTGTTTTCTGGTATTTTGTTTATAATAAACTACAATTCTCTTAACTATTTTTGTGCCAATACTGGGACTTGAACTCAGGGCCTTATATTCTTAGCATTTTGCTCTAGGGTGGTGCTCTACCACTTTAGTCACACCTCCACTTCTGGTATTTGCTGGTTAATGGCATAAGCTGGCTTTGAATCTTTTTTGGGTTTTTTTTGTTTGTTTATTTTTGGGTCTGGTCGTGGGGCCTGAACTCTGGGCCTGGGTGCTGTCCCTCAGCTATTCAGCTCAAGGCTAGCGCTCTACCACTTGAGCCACAGCGCCACTTCCGGCTTTTTTCCTTTTTGTTTATGTGGTGCTGAGGAATCGAACCCAGGGCCTCATGCATGCAAGGCAAGTGCTCTACCACTGAGCCACTTTCCCAGCCCTGGCTTTGAATCTTAATCCTCAATTTCAGTCACCTGAATAGCTAGGATTACAGCCACAAGACACCAGCACCCAGCCAATTCTCTTAAAGTGAATATTTAAAAGTCAGTGTCCTAGTCTGGAGCCATAGCTCAAGTGGTAAGAAACCTTTGTGGCAAGCCAGCAGTTCAAACTCTAATATTGCAAAACAGACAAGCAAAAATCCAACCCAAAACAAAAGTCAACAACAACTACAAACCCAAAACTACAACAAAGAAACATATTCTTTTATTTTTGGTCAGTTGGGCTTGAACTCAGGGTGTGTGTTCACTCTCTCTAAACCTTTTTTTTTGGTCAATCTTTGGGCTTGAACTCTGGGCTTGGGTGCTGTCCCTGTGCTCTTCAGCTCAAGGCTAGTATTATACCATTTGAGCCACAGTACCACTTCCAGTTTTCTAGTGGTTTATTGCAGATTTTCCTGCCCTGGCTGGCTTTGAACTGCAATCCTCAGATCTCAGGCTCCTGAGTAGCTAGGATTACAGGCATGAGCCACTGGTGCCTGGCTCCTAAGCCTCTTTATGATCAAGGCTAGTGCTGTACCACTTGAGCCACATCACTATCTTTACAATAAAAAATATATTATTAAAAAAAACTTACAACAAGAATAAACCAGAAATGGCTTTTTTAACTGGGCTTTTGTGGCTCATGCCTCACGACTCAGCAGGCTGAGATCTGAGGATCAAAGTTCAAAGCCAACCTGAGCAAGAAAGTCTCTGAGACTGTTATCTCCAATTAACCACCAGAAAACTGGAAGTAATGCTGTGACTCAAAATGGTAGTGCTACCCTTGAGCAAAAAGAGCTCAGGGCGGGCACCAGTGGTTCACACGTGTAATCCTACTGGGGAGGCTCATATCTGAGGGTTATAGTTCAAAGCCAGCCAGGGCAAGAAAGTCCATGAGACTCTTATCTCCAATAAACCACTAGAAAACCAGAAGTGGTGCTGTGGCTCAAGCGGTAGAGTGCTTCCTTGAGCTGAAGAG